ATAATCATGATGATTTATTTAAACACGCCTAAAGCAGACTAAGAATGTTTATGAGTTGATTAATTCTCAAGTTTGAGATCGTGTGTGAAAGTCCCAAAAAAAAATGGAATTTATAAATAAAAAAAGAAAAGAAAAAGAACACATGTATGTTGGTAAATTGTCAAACACCATGTGGGCATCGTAATTCTTTGTGTTAGTTTTTGTTTATCAACAAGCAAAGTGGGCTGGAAAATCATTTGGTCCTGAAAGTCCACGGACTGCTAGATTCACTTTCAAATCATGGTATAAGCGATCTCGACTAAACAAATTTACAATTGGCCACTCCTAATTACATTCAAGAAATGCAAACGTGATACTGTATTATGTGACTGCCTATTGTGAAGAGAACCAAAAGATTTAAGAGATTAACTATGAGACACCTCAATTACGTGGGCTTTAATTGAGCCCATGCATATTGGGTTCATAATGTCCAAAAACCGGCTTAGCTTATCATTCACACAGTCATTGACTCTGTCCATTTTATAAACAAATTGGACCCTGACATCTCTTTAAGAAAAAAAATGTGTCCCAACAATTCTCACGGAGTTTTAAACATGATCATAATTTAGACAACCAGCATGCTTTGCAAAAATTTAAAGGAAAAAGATCACCAAGAACAAATACTAAAAACTTAGATTTCCCAACTAAAGGGATATACTATGGGAAACCTCATATTATACGAACAGCCATTAGCAACAAATCAATCCTATTAAGCCTTATTACACATACAACCATTCTATCAATTAACAAACAGCCTACTTCGTAAATTCAATACATGTGTGAATCCCTATTATTACAGATTTAACTTTTAAAATGAATCATCAAGCCATGGATCAGCTTCACAGAAGTAAATTAAACTAAACTAAAAAAACCTTAATCAAATTAAACTATTATACTAATGACCACCTCTAGGCCTGTTATCACCCAGATCTATCGCTTTTGTTCAAGACTTGATGATGATATTCTATAACTCCAAAAGTGAATGAAATTTAAACTCCAAATCCTTACTTTAATCAAGCAATGCTCACACGTTAGCACATGAACATATTAATCCATAAGAAACAAACAATATAAGGTTTCAGCAACTAATTTCACGAAATAATATTATACATGGTTCTATGTTGTATTTCACATATAGAAGTAGTTGAACCAAATCAAGTTTCATTTAACATGGAGACATTTATCATACATAAATAACTGATTACAACAAACTTAACGGCATTACATCAAAATAACACCCATGTATTTGAAAACAGGATTCGTACCTTAATCAGCAAGTAAACAAGAGACCAAAACCAATTAAAGGTTTGAAGAAAAACGATAGGAATCTTAGCAAAAACAAGCTTAGCACAGAGCAACTTCAATCTCCAGCCAACAAACAACTCAAAAGAATCCCAGAAAATGTGAAGTAGGACCGGTTAGAAGAAAAGTAGCTTTAAATCTTCTTTTTTTTTTGGTTTTTCGAATTTTTGTTTTATGTCTCTAACTTGAACTTTCAGCTTTGTTTTTTAGGGAAAATCAGCATGGATGAGGATATAAGTGTGAGGTCTTTTTGCAGAGAATTAGTATATGTGTGTGAGGGAATGTGCGTTCTCTTATATAGAATATATATGTGCTATATAAGAGAATGAGAGAGGGTCTAGAAGAGAATTTGTCAGCCTCCTAAAATTTAGAAAAATTGCATCTTTTTTAAGAGAAATGGACAGTTGTCCAATTAAAATGATTCTATCCTATTTTTATCCCTCCCCTTAACTTCTATGTTTTACACTTAAACCCCAACCCAGAAGCTTCTAGTAATTACAAAAACATTTTTCGAAGTTAAAAACTTGAAATACCCTCCCATCCCCTGTTAATTACCATTCAACAAACCAATTTCTTGGGTTGTTTACCCAACAAACCAGCCACGCTTAATGGGCTTTCATACTCATCAGGCCTGTCTATCAAACAGGCCCAAATTCATTTCAACTGAATCAAACAAGATGGTGCACATGAAAACCACCTAATTTATGCTCTAATTTAGTAATTCAAGTGAAAGTGATTCAATTTAATTAAGCACATAACTGATTACCAATCTAGAGCAGAGCATGCAGAATTTAAACCTACCCAATTATAACAAAGAGAAAAATTATGATTAATTCCAGAAGGAGAAACAATATGTGAAAGAGAAAAAGGTGTGGGATTTGGAGATTTTACCCTGCAATGTTCAAATGGGGTCGAGCGTTGTAGAATTTTAGAACGGCAGCGGCTATAGGAGAGATTAGAACACTGGCTGATAAGTGACGATCTGGTCGGATTCCGACATCTTCGAGATAAGCCAAAACTAGTGTTAATCGAATATTCTCGTTGAGAACAAACGATTAACACAAGTCTCAGGTCAAATCAATTCTAAAATCAACTGAAAGAAACGGCAAAAGGCGGACTAGGATTTTTGGAGTTTTTTAGATCTACTGTAACTAGAGTTTCTAAGGGATTTGAGGGATGAGGATAAGGGCTTTAGAAAGAGGGGATGCTGAGGATCATAGGGTAAAAGTTTGAGGCCGTTTGTTGTTCAACCACCGCCGAGAGATGATTTCGGCGACGGGTCCGAGAGAGCATGAAAGAGATGAGGGGAAATGGAAGTGTTTAGGGGCGAGTTCCTAACCGTCGGATGATGGAAAATCAACGGTTGAGATTGGACATTACCAAAACGATGTTGTTTGGTTATTGGGGGGAGGGTGTGGACCGGATTGGATTTTATGGGGATTGGGCTGGGCAGGCGTTTGAAGATAGCTGGGCCGCCTGGCTTGTTTGGCCCAGTTATGAGAACAAAACAAAAGATGACCTTCTAACTTAAGCCAATTTCCAATTAAATCCGATATTTTGCACATTTAGCTAATTTCTCGATTTTTCCTAATATTAAACTAATAGAAATATGAATCAAACACATTAACTAATTAACTAAACCTAAAAATGATTAAAGCACTTTTCTTTCTCTTTTTTTTTTATGAACAAGGCTTTTAATATAAGGTTAAAACCTAAAATACAACTAAAATCCTAAAACATACTAAATAATGATAAAATATTTTTTGGTGATTTTTATGACTTAAAAACATTTCTAAATATGCATGAACAATGTGAATAAATGCTAAACCAATAAAGAAAAACATTCCTAAAATCTATAAGAGTAATTAAAATGATTTTTGGACTATTTTAAGAGTAATGTCATGTGGCGCAAAAATTGGGTGCTCACACACACAAGTGTATTAACATCATATAAACTTGCTCGCTAATTCAAATTATGAAAACTCAAAATTTCAACATTGAAATTTATTTTTCCAGTTTTTCACATAATGCGCAGAAACGCCCTCGGGTCACTTGGGACCCAACCGAACATGCGTACAAATTCAAAGCTACCATTCGAACCTAACGGAATCATTAAAATACAGATCCGAGGTCATTTACTAAAAATATAGACCGTGGTCAACTCAGCCTTATTTTAAGATTTCACATGCAAACTTTCAGAAAAACTATACAAACCACACATGCTATCATAAATCATCAAATTAAGCTAGGAAAGGTCCTGGAACACAGAAAAAGGAGATAGTGCTCAAAACGACCTATCGGGCCGTCACACAATGGACTGCTTAGCTCGACCCGTAGTTTGAAGTGTTTATTTTTAGGGGCATTTACGAGAATGAACCATATTTTACAATTCTTAACAACAGTTTAGCCATAGAATTTAAATTTTTTGGCCAACAAAAAGTTATTAATAATATACAAACATACACAATACCTCAGAAAACCTTTTTTAACTCCATGGGTATGGTTGAAATTCCTTAAAAACACTTATACGAGGTAATATATAAAATCTGAGGGAGATTTGATGTAATCTAAACTGATTTAGAGTCAAAATTCTTGGTTAAAAATGAGTTGGAAAAGTATATTTGCAGATACATGTATATCACATGCAAATATACATGGATATAAATATATACATGGATACATATCAGATATATAAGTATACACATCAGATACATATGACATGCTCAAAGAATACACATATATACAGGATAAAATACACAACTCATATTCCTTTTTTTGGTAATTAAAAAATTTTATTTATCAAGTATAAGTATTTACATACTATCAAAATCTAGGACTAGCTTTCTATCAAAACTCCTGCTGGACATGAAGCCCTAGCTGGGAGATTTCTAGCCTTACTACAATTCCTCTCCTACTGCTTTTTCCACCTAGACTTCATCCGGGTACCAATTCAGTACAATCATATATCTATCTAGCCTAAGAAACATCTTGGCTCTAACATGTATTTCTTGGATGATTAGTTTGAGAATAGCATTTGTAGTTCTCCTCTTCTTCTGGAAGATGACATTGTTCCTTTCTTGCCAAATATGGTAAACTGTTGCTGCTAGTACCATCCTACATACTGCTGCTCCTCCACTTTTTCCTTTAGCCACCTTTTTGATCCATTTTAGCTCTTCCTGCCAATCTTTCTTTGTTCTCTTAATGCCTTGCCAGTGTAGAAGATTCTTCCATATATTTGTTGACATTTCACAATAAAAAAATAAGTATTATATAGTTTCATTTTCTCTTTGACAGAGGGAGCATGTTTTGTTTTCTATGATCCCCCATCTTACTAGACTTTCTTTTGTAGCTAACCTATCTTGTATTGCCAACCTTAGTATGAATATCCACTTTGAAAGTCCATGGTTATTACAAACTAGTCTCTTTTATGACACCTTATGAAATTCCCCTTGCATAGCTTTGTACATGTGATTCACAGAGAATCTCTCCATCTTGTTCACCTCCTCTTCTATATATCCAGCACCCTCAAAGTGTCTTCTTGTCTTGAATATCTTTTGGATAACCCATTGGTTCAGATCATTGTCCTCTCTTGATTTCATTTGATTCAGTTTCTGTTCCTATAAAGAAGAGTTTCAGATTTTTAAAGTTTTGGACAGAACATGAATCCTTTAAGGCAGTGGTACAGGAGAACTGAAAAGCAGATTTCTATGTAATCCTTTCATATTGTTTAATCACAAACTCAAGAAACTGAAGAACGCTCTATCAACATGGAGCAGGGCTACTTTTGGTGATATTTTTCAGAAGATAGCTAGCTTGGAAGAGGTAGTTAGAGTTCATGAAGCTCAGTTTGAAATTAATCCTACAGTACAAAATAGAGAAAGATTGCAGAAAGTGCAGGCAGAATTAGTCAAAAATCTTGCATTGGAGGAAAAGTTTTGGAAGCAGAAAGCTGGAATGCAATGGTTCAATGATGGAGATAGAAATACGAAATTATTTCATGCACATGTGAATGGTAGGAGAAAGAGGCTACAGCTTAAGAGAATCCAAAACACAACCGGTGTTTGGATAGAAGATAAGGAAGAAATGGCTAATGAGGCAGTACAAAATTTTCAAAAACAGTTTCATGAAGAAGTGGTTCCTACTACATTTGATATCATTGAACATGTACCACACATGGTGGATATGGAACATAATCAAGAACTGCTGAGACAACCTACTACAGAAGAGGTCAAATAGGATGTGTATGGTCTGAATAATTATAGTGCTGGGGGTCCTGATGGATTTAATGGCTGTTTTTTTCATAGTTGCTAGGATATAGTTGAAGAGGATGTGGTGGAGATGGTGAAGGCCTTTTTCAATGGACAAGATCTTCCTAGGTTTATCACTCATACAAACCTAGTATTACTACCTAAGAAGAAAGAGGTGATCACATTTTCAGACATGAGGCCTATTAGCCTTAGTAATTTTATCAACAAAGTATTTTCAAGGGTTATTCATGAGAGATTAGCTGGGCTCTTACCTAATNTTAGTAATTTTATCAACAAAGTATTTTCAAGGGTTATTCATGAGAGATTAGTTGGGCTCTTACCTAATATTATATTTGATGAGCAAGCTGGCTTTGTGAAAGGGCAGAAGTATTATAGAAAATGTTCTATTGACACAAGAGATAATCACTGATATAAGGTTAAGGACTAAGGCAGGACCAAATGTAGTAATTAAGCTGGATATGATGAAGGCCTATGACAAACTTTCATGGCTGTTTCTGACCAAAATTCTGAGGAAAATGGGCTTTTCTGAAAGATTCATTGGTTGGGTGTATGGTTTGGTCTCTAATAATTGGTATTCTGTCTTGATAAATGGCCAACCACATGGTTTTTTCAAGTCCACTAGAGGAGTGAAACAGAGAGATCCCTTATCTCCTACTTTGTTTATACTGACAGCAGAAGCATTATCAAGAGGATTGAATGTCTTGCATAATAATCTATATTTCTGTGGCTTTGGCCTGCCTAAGTGGAGTCCTAAGATTAATCACTTGGCATACGCAGATGACACCGTTATCTTTTCTTCTTCAGATGAAACTTCCTTGCAACTGATAACGCAAGTTTTGTCAGCTTATGAAGCAGCTTCAGGTCTGTTGATTAACAAAGCAAAATCTGCAGTCTATATGCATCATCTTACCAATGAAACATTGTTTAGCAAGGTTGAACGAGTGTCTGGGATCAGGAGGCAGGAGTTCCCATTTACATATTTGGGATGCCCTATTTTCTATTCTATGAGGAAGATGGAATATTATAATGGTCTCATAAACAAGGTGCTGGATAAACTGCAGTCTTGGAAGGGTAAAATGTTGTCTATATGAGGCAGGTTGTGTTGATTTCTCATGTTATTCAGAGTATAGCTATTCACTTACTGTCAGCAGTTAATGCACCAGCCTTTGTTATCAATAAATTGCACAAACTCATGGCAAGATTTTTCTGGAGTAGTTCAATTGAAGGAGGTAGCAGGCATTGAGCTTCTTGGGATACATTATGCTTGCCACAAGAAGAAGGAGGGATTAGTTTTAGATCTTTACATGATATCTCTAAGGCATTATTTTGTAAGTTGTGGTGGAACTTCAGAACCAAACCATCATTGTGGAGTTCATTTATGAGCCAAAAATACTGTAAGAAACTAAATGCCATTGTTGTTCCATGGAGAAGAAATGGCTCTCATATTTGGAGGAAAATGTTAGAATGCAGAGATAGTATTGAGCATCAAATTCTGTGGCAGCCTAAAATGGGATCTGCATTATTTTGGTTTGAGAATTGGACTGGTTTGGGGGATCTTTATTTCATAACACCACCAGACTTCTTCTGTGATGAGTCAGTTCAAAATGTAAATGAAGTACTGAATGGGAGGAACTGGAATGAGCAGAAACTAAGGGAACTATTACCTGAGGATCTAGCCAATCATATATTGCAGAACATCAAACCACCAGGTGAAAATATGGTACTGGACAAGCCTTTTTGGATGTTGGAAACAAGGGGTGAGTTTACTATGAGGTCAGCTTGGGATTATATCAGGATAAGGAGGGAACGTTGCAAAGCTTACAAGATGATATGGGTGAAAGGGTTACCATTTAAAGTGTCTTTCTTCATGTGAAAGGTTTGGAAGAACAAAATACCTCTAGATGATTTTTTTTCAGAAGATTGGGATACCTTATGGCTTCTAGATGTTGGTGCTATATTCTACCACAAGAAGAAACCTTGGCACATTTGTTTTTCAAATCCTATACTGCTAGGAAGGTGTGGATATATTTCTTATCAGCTGTAGGTATTAATATTGATGTACTCACATTTCATCAACCTGTGCTGAAGTGTTGGACTACCCAGGTGATCCCAAGGATACAACCAGTACTACAGGCATTGCCGTCGATAATAGTTTGGAAATTATGGAAGAGAAGAAATTCATACAAATATGGAGATGCAATCTCAGGTAATAGAGTTATATACCAGGTATCAACCACACTTCAATACCTAGTCAAATTCAGAAAACCAAGCTTGAAAAATGTACCACATAAATGGCCTGATTTGATGCAATTACTAGAACAATACACACCCAAGTTGAAATATACTAAGGTGTTATGGGAGTTACCTGAGCAAGGATGGATAAAGGTCAATACTGATGGAGCATCTAGGGGTAATCTAGGTAAGAGTTCCATAGGCTATGTGTTGAGGAATGAAGAGGGGAATGTAGTTTATACATGTGGTAAAGAAATAGAGGATGGTACAAATACAGAAGCTGAGGTGAAAGCTATTCTTGAAGCCTTAAGGTACTGTGTTGAGCATGATTACATTCTTATTAACTTGCACACTGATTCAATGCTAGTCAAGAATGTACTAACAGGGGAATGGAATGTACCATGGTCTGTTGTAGTATATGTGGAGGAAATAAGGGAGCTGATGGAAAGATGCAACTTGAGGATATCTCATACAGTGAGGGAAGGAAACCAGCTAGCAAATCATATAGCCAATTATGTTTTGGATATTGGCCCAATAGAGTGTACTGGATTTGGAGATCTGGATGTCAAAGGGAGGAAAATTGTGAATAACGATAAATTACAATGCCCATACATTAGATTAAAGGTCGCAAGAACCTAGGAGAGGAGGAGGAAAAGAGTAGTAGGAGCAGGAGAAATTCTGGGATGCCACACGCTCATCATACTCAAATCCATGTGGAGGAGAGTATGGCAAATTTGTTTATTGCTAACCTAGTTTTCTTTTTTGCAAGGAACGCTACTGTGGTCATGCCCCAGCTTTTGAATAACTCTCATTTAGTGGTATTAGTACTATGTACTCATTCCAATGGGAGGGAAGCAAGGATGGGCATAAGCATGGCATGGGATTTACACAATAAAAAACTGGGCTACTATGTGTTTATTGAGGAGCTTTGGCATGTTTCTCATGATCAAGGCATCTTATTGATAAGGAATGTAACATGCTCAGCAACAGATTGCAGAATACAAGATAACATGGATACAACAGGATACCAGACACAGTCACACTCTAACTTTAGATGGGTACGACTATGTGACCAAAGGGACTACACAAGAATAACAGGATGGCAAACATATAGATGCTATATACATACAACATTACTGATACGCAGGCAAGATAATCCTAGAGGAAGTTCACACATAAGGGCAGGGTTCAAACTGCAATTTTGGTCACAACAGACCAAGTCCAACATAATTCCCAGGTATCTATGGTCGAGAATGTGTACTTTAGAGGCTTATATGGGCTATGACAATGGGACAACAAGGGGTTACATAACAAGTACTTCAACTATGACAAACAATGAATACAAGATAGGGAAGAACTGGATATCAAACACAAAGAACATCTGTGAAATTTGGAAGCAAAACAGCTCAGTTACTAGGAGTTCAAATCGATGGTTAGTTCAGAAATGGATATTACTTTGGAAGCTCTAGCAAGCTGCAGATTTTCAACAAATGACAGGGATTAATCAACAGCTACAATCATCACAAGGCCTAGAATTTTCATAAGACATAGCCAACATGACATGCACGCGAGTAGAAGTTGGAAATATGGCCATTTTTCCATTTCATAGTACAATATGTGATATCAATTTTGAGTCTACTACTCAAGATTGATAATAGGTAGCCATTTACAATTCTTAGCCACATTGACATTATGTTTTCACTTTAGTTTAAATATATATAATAATTAGCCCCAGACACCTCGCCTACTGGATTTAAAAAAAGAGTATACCACAGCGGTACTCAGTAAGTGTCAAGCCTAACCTCGGTCGGGTAGTGACGAGGAAGGTCAAGGCCCTACTGAGGTTAAATAAAATATAAAGATCAACAGTAAAGAACAGAACCGTATAAATAAGTACGGCAGTAAAATAATACAGGATGTATAGGACATCAACAACTACACAGAAACAAGGTAAACATGGAAAGGAAATACAGCTTAGCACCAATAATAACAATCGGGGATCTCCCAGGATACCGTCCTGTAGTCCCATCTGTACATGTCTAGTGGATCTCTAGGAATCCCGTCCCGTAGTCCAACTCATAGTGCGCGAGGATCTAACGGAATCCCGTTCCGTAGTCCCAAATATAAATACCTAGTATTGGGGGAATCTACTGGGTGCATTCCCGTAGTTCCATATAACTCTGCAGGGGGATCTACCGAAAATCTAACCCGTAGTCCCAAAGTAAATGTGCAGGGGGATCTACCGGAAATCTAACCCGTAGTCCCAAAGTAAACAGACAATGGGTAGCTACCGGAATCCCACATCCGTAGTCCCAAAATAAATACACAGCAGCAGCAGGAAAATATACAGAAATGGCAAAATTTCATATTGAGGCAATAAGTGATTCTAACCTAGCATGCTGCACAGAATTCAAGTAAGGTAGGTTGAATCAAATAAAACAATTATGTCACTTAGACATGCTTTCCTAAGCTAACAACAGGTTTAATAGTGCAAGTAGTAGAAACAGGAAAGGAAACATACTACTAATTACGTAAAGAAAATTGGATTTCCAACAATTAGCACAAGTACGCACTCGTCACCTCACGTATAAGGCATTTCAATTACCAAACATTCCAATCCTAAGGGGAAGGTCCCCCACACAAGGTTAGACAAGTCACTTACCTCGAACCAGCTCAAAATCAACCCAACACCACGTCTTTGCCATGAGTACTCGACTTTAAATGGCCCAAATCTATTAAATTCAATTACATAATGTAAATAACACTTCAAGTAACTGATTCTACAATTAAATTCTAAGCTATTATGCGAAATTATGTAAAATACGAAAATGTCCCTCGGGCCCACGTCTCAAAATTGGGTAAAATTTACATTTTCAGAAACCTCGTACTCTCACGAGTCTATACATAACAAGAACACTGAAATCGAAGTCCAAATGACCCCTCAAATCCTTATTCAAAGGTCTTTTAACTTAAGCCCTAATTACCCATTTTTCCCAAATTTTTCACCACTAATTAGGTCCTTAATCACATAAATACGAGTTATGAAGTCAAGGATGTTACCTCCAAGTGATTCCCCTTTGTTTTGCTCAAAAATCTCTCTCAAAAGCTTCTAACCCGGATGAAAATGGTGAAAGAATAGCTCAAATTCGCGAAGGCAACAATTTATATATTCTGGCTAGTGATTTTCGCATCTGCGGATGCGGTCCCGCTTCTGCGGAAACTATGTCGCATCTGCGACTTTTACTTAAATGCCATCTTCTGCATCAGCGAAAGTCTAACCGCAGGAGCGGTTGCACTTCTGCGAACATTTCACCGCATCTGTGGTTCCTTAGGAATTCCCAAATTCTGCTTTTGCGGTTCCTATGCCGCTTCTGCGGCTCCGCAAAATTGCAGATGCGAAAATACCAGAAGCAGCAAAAATACAGCAGCTGCAACATGTTTCTCAATTTCTCGTTAACCATCCGAAATCACCTCGAGACACTGGGACCTCAACCAAAAGCACAAACATCACCTAATAGCTTATTCAAACTTGTACCAATCCTTAAAACACTTAAAACAACATCGAAACCTCGAATTAACCAAGGATTTAAGCCTAAGAACTCAAAATTTCCTCAAAATACACTTTCGATCAAAAAGTCTATCAAACCTCGTCCGAATGACCTGAAATTTTGCACACACGTCACATTAAATAATACGGAGCTACTCCAACTTCCGGAATTTCATTCCAACCCTTGGATCAAAATCTCACTATCGGACCGGAAACTTCAAAAATTCAACTTTCGGCATTTCAAGCCTAAATTAGCTACGGACCTCCAAAACACAATCCAAAGACGCTCCTAAGCCTGAAATCACCCAACAGAGTTAACAGAACCATCAGATTTCCATTCCGGGGCCATCTTCACACTGATCCAACTACCGTCAACTTTCCAACACTTAAGTTCTCATTTAGGGACTAAGTGTCCCAAAACTCTCTGAAACTCGACACCGAACATCCCGACAAATCAAAATAGCAGAATTAAACTTAGGGAAAGCAGTTAATAGGGGATCGAGGCGTTAATTATTAAGACGACCGGCCGGGTTGTCACATCCTCCTACACTTAAACATTCGTTGGTCCTCGAACAAGCAAGGAGACATACCTGAAGTAGTGAAAAGATAAGGTAATGGCTGCGCATATCCTGCTCGGTCTCCCAAGTCGCCTCCTCGACCGGCTGACCCCGCTACTGAACCTTCACTGATGCAATGTTCGTTGACCTCAGCTTTCTAACCTGCCTATCCCATATTTCCACTGGCTCCTCAACATAAGATAGATCCTTGTCCAACTGGACTGAACTGAAATCCAACACGTGCGACGGATCATCGTGATACCTCCGGAGCATCGAAGCATGAAATATCGGATGAACTCCTGCCAATCTGGAAGGTAAGGCTAGCTCATAAGCAACCTCCCCAACATGCCTCAATATCTCAAAAAGGCCAATAAACTTCGGACTCAACTTCCCTTTCTTCCCAAATCTCATAACACCCTTCATAGGCCAAACCCGAAGCAGAACCCGCTCTCCAACCATGTAGGAAACATCACGAACCTTCCGGTTTGCGTAACTCTTTCTGTCTAGACTGGGCTGTGCGGAGTCTATCCTGAATCACCTTAACCTTCTCTAAAGCATCCTGAACCAGGTCTGTGCCCAACAATCTGGCCTTACCCGGCTCAAACCAACCCACTGGGGATCTATACCATCTCACGTATATAGCCTCATACAGTGCCATCTGAATGCTGGATTCATAGCTGTTGTTATAAGCAAACTCTGCCAATGGCAATAACTGATCCCAAGACCCTCCGAACTCAATCACACATGCACGGAGCATATCCTCAAGAATCTGAATAGTGCGCTTAGACTGTCCGTCTGTTTGAGGGTGAAATGTTGTACTCAACTCCACTCAAGTACCCAACTTATGCTGAACGACCCTCCAGAACTGTGATGTAAACTGAGTACTACTATCTGAGATGGTGGACACTGGAATACCATGCAAACGAACAATCTCCCAAATATAAATCTCCGCCAACCGCTCCGAAGAATAAGTAGTACACACAGGAATAAAATGTGCGGACTTGGTCAGCCGATCCACAATCACCCAAATAGCATCGAACTTTCTCAAAGTCCGTGGGAGCCCAACTACAAAGTCCATGGTGATCCGCTCCCACTTCCATTCCGGAATCTCTATCTGCTGAAGCAACCCACCCAGTCTCTGGTGCTCATATTTCACCTGCTGACAGTTGAGGCACCGAGCTACAAATCCAACTATATCCTTCTTCGTCCGCCTCCACCAGTAGTGCTGCCTTAAATCCCGATATATCTTTGCGGCACCTGGATGAATGGAATACCGCGAGCTATGGGCCTCTTTTAGAATCACCTCTCGAAGCCCATCAACATTGGGTACACAAATCCGACCATACATCCTCAATACCCCATCATCACCAATAGTCACATCTCTGGCATCACTGTGCTGAACCTTGTCCTTGAGGACAAGTAAATGAGAGTCATCATATTGCCGCTCCCTAATACAATCAAATAAGGAAGACCGAGAAACCATGCAAGCCAGAACCCGACTAGGCTCCGAAAGATCCAATCTCACAAACTGGCTG